CAAAAAAAAAAAAAAAAAAGAGCTAGGGTCTCACTATGCACTGCAGGCTGGCCTTGAACTCACTATGTAGCCCAGAATGGCCTTGAACCTACAGAGATCCTCTTGCCTCAGCCTACCGAGTGCTTGGATTACAGGTATGCGCCACCACACCTTTTGAATAATTTTTTAAAGGAAAGTAAAAATTATTTCTAGAAGATTGTAAATATGCAAAACAATATTGTATGATATTAATGGATGCACAGGAATAAACTGGTATGATAATAAATTCAGGAAAGTGCTTACCTGTGGGGTCAAGGAAGGAGTCCTAGGAAGCTTCAATCATGTGGATTATACTTATTTCTCAAGCTGGGAGGTAACAGCATGTCTGTTCATAATATTACTATAGACTGCCTTTGGCGGGGGGTACCAGGGATCGAACTCAGGCCCTTCGCTTGCCAGGCAGGCGGTGGAACCTCTGAGCCAAATGCCCAGCCATAGACTGCCTTTTTATATGGTGAATATTTCAGTTTTCCGAGCTTTCCACCTGTTTTCTATCACATTATTATAGACAGCTAAGTTAGACAGAAATATTACAAGCAATCAGGACTAGGCCCACAACAGAGTCAGGAGAAAGGTACAACATATCACAGTTGTGGCCAGAGACACATCTGCTAGACTCCAGACCTCAAGACAAAGATAACATGACCCAGGGCCAGAGAAAGCTCAGGGGTTGCGCCACCTGCCTCGCAAGCGCAAGGTCCCGAGTTCAATCTCCGGTACCCCCCCAAAAAAGACAAAATGACCAATGAACCCTAGACAGGTATCAGTCACCCTGACAGGTGCCCAAGACCTCTGGACCCATCACTACCTAGAAAAAGTTTGTTCTTTCCACATACGTACACCTGTTAGAGGACTCGTTCCCCCATGGATCACTGTTACCTAAGCGCCTGTACTTGTAACACTATTGGTTCATCACAGCTGTACCCCACGTTGTACCTATGTGGGTTTTGCTCCATAAAACTTCCCTGTAAAGTGGGGTCTCCAGCTACCTATTCAGGCCCCCTCCGGCCTCTCAGAAGCTCTCTCAATAAATATTTTCCTGCTCTTAACCTCCATTGTTCCCAGAGTTCCTTCTTCGGGCTTCAGAGAACACAAGCTCGGTGTGTCAGACAGCGACCAGACCTTCACATCGCACCTCCGCTATCGTGTGTACCTGGCGTTGGCAGAGCTGCCCCCACGGGTCTCCCACGCTCCTGTGTCATGCTGGGTAGGCCAGGAATGCAAGGTTCCAACCCCTCCTCATCCTGACCACGTTGGCACTGTGTCTGCAGAGCACAGATGTGAGGGATTCAGGAACGTCCGCCCTCCGGCATGGAAAACAGGCTTGTCATGTACTATGAAAGCATCGGAGCCCCCAAATTCAACACTCTGCTCCCGGAACATGCGTCCACCTGAGCTCTTTCGTGCACTCCGGTGGAACCAGAGCAGGGAAGCAAGAAGGAGGAATGCACTCACTCACACTGCTTGCTTGTCTCTGACCCTAGTCCTGTGTGTTCTGCCCCTATCCAGGCACTAAAGGCTGATTGTTAGCTTCTGCATAGTTCTGGGGCTCAGAAATATGGTGACCTGGTATGCCAACAATTTCAAAGGCCCTAGGAGGGCAGTGGATCTTAGGAAAAGTTTTATTCTGACATTCGCTCATCTGCTTGAAGTCCAGACCCACCAAAGGAAAAAAATTAGCTTTGGTCCACTCCCTGGGTTTTCATGAACTAAATTCATACCTACAGGAAGGAAAACCAAAGAGTGGAACCACACCTGAGCAGATTTTGTTACAGCTATTCTCTGTCATCTAGGCCCCTGAATTCCCAAAGAAAATCATTACAGCCAGGTGTGGCAGCGTATGCTTATAACCTCAGCACTCTGGGAGGCTGAGACAGGAGGACTACAAATTAGAGCCTAGCCTGGGCAACCTAGTAAGAATCGGTCTTAAAAATAATGATAATAAAAAAAATAATAATCCAGGCATGGGCACACACCTGTAATCCCAGCACTAAGGAGGCTGAGGCAGGAGGATCGCTGTGAGTTCAAGACCAGCCTGGGCTACATAGTGAGTTCCAGGTCAGTCTCAACTACATAGTGAGACCCTGTCTCAAAAAGAACAAAAACAAAACAAAACAATAATAATAATAATTTTTAAAATGTAAAAAGCGAAAGGGCTGAGGATGTAGCTCAGTGGTAGAGCTTCCCTGAGTTCGATCCCCATGGTGGGGGGCATCCTGACACTCTTGTATTATGAGTGCAAGCCCCATCCCTCTCACAGAGAAGGCCATGCAAGCACCCAGACCCCCTTAGATGACAGAGCACTCACCTCTCTGTGACCGTCCCTGTGTGTGAAAATACATTTAACACTTTTTTCCCTGTTAATCTCATTGTCAGTTCATTCCATAAACCTTCACAGGGACACGGGAAGCTTTCCCTTTGTCTCACAACAGGGTAAAATAAAACACCAAACCTTTACACATACTTTCATTGATTTTCATCCATTTTAAACACACTCGCACATCGTGTGCATACACCAGTTCTGGGGAATAAACCAGGGCCTTGTATGCTCAGCAAGGGCTCCACCATGGAGCTACAGCCCCACCCTCTCATTTTTTATTTTGAGACAGGGTCTCACTAAAGAAAGAAAGCGCTTTCAACTTCTTGTGGGCTGTCGATTAAGAAAACGTGGTTCAGTTCAAAACGTGGCTCCCTGACTTTCAATGCTGTGACTTTACGGAAAGAATCTCACAGCACTGCTGGGGCAATTACAGAGCTAACGTACATTAAATTACCGGCATTTAATAAATCTGAGGTCATACATAAAGAGTGATTGTTTATTATTTGTGGATCCCACTGCTCTCTCCACTTAGAAGAGACTCCTTAAAAAATAAAAACTTTAAGGGCCAGGGATTTAGCTCAGTGGTTCTGGCGCCTGCTTCACAAGCATAAGGTCCCGAGTGCAATCCCCAGTACCCCAAAAATAAATAAATAAATAAATAAAAACTTTAGAGGGCTTCGAGAGTCATCCTTGGACTCAGCTTGCCTTACGGAGCCAACCCCAAGACCGATCTTTGCTACCTCATCCCCCACTTTCAGTGCACCCACTTCCACCCTTTCCACCCAGTCCCTCCGTATGGAAACATCAACAAAGTTAAAGCCCGGTCAGTGCTCCCTGGAAAGCTTTCCCTTTCCCACTGCATCGCACTCTGGCTCTGGAAACAATGTTCATTCTTTGCAGTGTGGTGCTCATGGCTCACATGAGAACACCCAAGGACAGGGAACAAAATCATCCATGACATCAGTCCAGATCAGGTTTGCACAGGCGAGGCGAGCGCCGGCCCACAGTCAGCCTCCCTCAGGGAACTCGTTCCGGGCGCCCCCCGCCCCGCCCCAACCAAATCCATGAATGCTGAAGTCCCTTACAAAAAACAGCACAAGGTCTGCAAACAAGCCCTGTACACCCTTTAGTGTACCGTAAACCGCCGCAGGCTATTTATAGCACCTAATCAACTGACTTGTGGTGTAACTGTCGGGATGCACTGTGCAGAAGCAATAACGACAGAACGAGTCTGTACACACTCAGCACAGACGCAAGTTTTTCCAATAATTGCATCCCACGGTTGGTTGAATCCATGGACACAGAGCCCACAGCTCTGGTGTGCGGACTGTGAGTGGTGACCAGCTCTCTTGACCTAACAGAGCAACAGCTGGAGTAGCCCAAGCTCTGCCCGTGAGGGAGGACAGCCAGCTGCAGTGATGTGACAATGAAAACAGCTATTCCCAGTCAGCAGCACAGCCAGTCAACAGCACAAGGAACAACTGGATCCTGGCCGTTTAGACAAATCCCAGCGCACACTTCCCTTTCGCACGCCACAGTCCCGGCTCATACTTCACTCCGTAGCTGCCTTCCTACTGCGGATGGTATTACTCAGAGCCCAAGGGCGGACAAAAAGGCTAATGGCAGCCTGGTATTTATTCCACTTCAAGTATGTGGGAAAACATTTTCTGGCCATCTGTTACTGTTACAAAGTGCAGGCACTAAAACGAAATTGGAAAACAGATTTTGATCAAATTTAATCTCTGCCAGGGACTGCAGTCTGCCAGACAAGAGAAAGGCTCTCAGACACCCTCGTGACGATGTGCCACAACGTCAGGAAGTGAGAATGCTTAGATTTCAGAGTCTCAGAGTCTCAGAGTTGGATGGGAGCTCAGTCATTTACCTCTAATCTGCACATGAGGAAACAAATGCTCAGAAAGTTACAGTGCCCAAAAGTCAGGGCAGAGCGGAGGCCGAGCACAGGACAGAAACGGGACATAGCCTGGCCTTCACGCAACTCTAAGTTGCAATAATCAGTCTGCCTCGTGTCCCATCAAAACTGAACCCTCACAGGGGAAATGAGAAGGTCCAGATACACTATGCTTCCTCCACTACCCTGCGTACTGAAGAGGTGACCACAGCCCAGCTTGGCTGCTAAGCTTCCTGCAGAAATCTACATCGAGCCGACCTCACTGCTCAGCCACATCACAGGCTTGCCTTGAAGGAGACACATGCAACTTGAAAGCAGGCAGTTTGCACGGCAGGGACCCTGCACCACCAACAAAGCACAACACCACTCAGGCGGCAACCTGCCCGGTCCCAGGTGATTGCACAGGATCAGCCACGCACTCTGAGAGGCTGGCCTCTCACAAGAGAAGGATCTTTCTTCCTAGATTTTTGGTCATTGTTTACAGGGTTATGTTTTTTAACATGCTGTGATGTCTGATGTGCACACAGTGGCTCATTTCTTATTTTGTTCCTCTGATCTAGTGAATACATATACCAAGATCACACTTTCCTATTACTGTCGCTTCTTTTTAAGTACTGAAGGTAGGCAGTACAAATTCCTTCATTTGCTCTGTTTAAAAATTATTCTGACCATTTCTACATCTTTTATTTCCATATATATTTTTTAATCAGCTTACCAACTTGTTAAAAAAAATGACAAAATTCTGACTGGAAGTGTATTAACCTATTGCTCAATTTAGGGAGATTTGCCTCACGGATAATAAGTAATCCTATCCTTGAACGTGGTATACGTTCAGAGTATGATATATTTATTTAGGTTATGTCTATTTAAGTCTTTTGTGGGGGGTACCAGGGATCAAACTTGGGACCTTCCGTTTTCTATTACAAACTGTGCCGCTATAAATATTGGTGCACATATATCACTGTGGTATGATTCTTTTAATTCTTTTGGAAAGATACCCAACAGAGGGATGGCTGGGTCAAATGACTTCTGCTTTCGAGGCAGGCAGCGGTACCACTGAGCTAAATCCCTGGCCCTCTTTAGGTCTTCTTTAACTACTATCAGCAATGTTTTATAGTTTTCAGTATATATCTCTCCTACATTTATTTTTTCTCTATCTTATGTTCACAACACTTACATTTTTCTCTTTTCTAGTTGCTCGCTGAGAGAAGATAGAAATAAGTTATATTTTCATATTGGTTTTATATCTTGCAATCTTACTTAATTTAGTTATTAGCCCTAGTAGTTGTTTGTGGATTCCTTGGGATTTTCTATATAAATTATTACATCATGAGTAGAGACTATTTTACTATACTTTCCAATATTTATGACAGTTCACATATTAATCTTATATCCTGCAGCCATTCTAAACTCATGGTTTATAATAATTCTGTAAAAGAAGCCATAATGTTTTCTACACAGACATTTACTTTGTCCACAAACATAAAATAATCTTTTTCCAATTTGGATGCTTTTTATTTCTATTCCTTGCTTTATTTCATTTGTGAGAACCTTCAACACAATGCTGAATTGAAGTCATGAGAACAACCTTGCCTTGTTCTCAATCTCATGACAAAGTATCCAAAATGCCATGATTAAGTAAGACAGCTATAGGTTTTTCAGAGTGTCCTTTACCAGGCTGAGAAAGTTCCCTGCTACTCCTAGTTTGCTAAGAGTGTCGATCACCAACTGAAGTTAAAATTTCTCCAATGGTCTCAACATTTATTGAGATCACACAGATTGTCTCCATTATGTGATTACTAGGGTGATTTTCAAATTTTAATTTCTCTATTAAACCATACAGCCATATGTAATGTTCTTTTTATATAGCTTTGATCTCAATTTGCCAATATTTTAGCAAGAACTTATTAGTCATTATACACAATGGATGTTGATCTAAAATTTTATTTTCTTGAAACATGTTGAGCCAGGTATAAGTCCTCTAGTACCAGCTACTAGGAAGGCTGAGACAAGATTACTTGAGCCTAGAAGTTCAAGGCCAACTTGAGCAACGTAGTAAGGCTCTGCCTCAAAAAGAGAGAGAGAGAAAGAGAGGGGGGGGGAAGGAAAGGGAAGAGAAAGGAGGAGGAAGAAAGAGAGCCAGCTATAAGTTTCCCATCAATCAGGGCCAGGGATTTAGCTCAGTGGCCCCAGTTCCACAAATATTTCCCATCAATCACTTTATTTGGTACATGATACAAATGTTGAATACTGAATTTTCATTTCAACTAGTTAGAAATATTTTCTAGTTTCTTTTACAATGTCTTCTCTGACCCATAGGTTATTTAGTTATCTGGAAATTTGATTTTCTTTCTAGTATTGGGCATTGAGCCCAGGGGCACTGTATCACTGAGCTACACTCTCAGCTTTTTACTTTTTATATTGAGGCAGGGTCTAAATTGCCCAGCCTAGAACTGAAGTTACAATCCTTTTGCCTCAGCCTCCTGAGCAGCTGGGGGTATAGGTGTTTACTACCATGTCTGGCTCAAAATGAATTTTTTAATCCACAAATATTGGAGGCCTTCCTTGTTATCTTATTGCTTTCTAATTTAATTCTATTATGGTCAGGGAACATGTAAGGTCAGTTTTCAGTATTTTGAGATGTACTGAGACATTTTACAGCTCAGAATACGGTCTATCTTGGTAACTACTTCTTGGGCACTTGAAAACAATATACATTCTGCAGTTGCATGCCTCTGTCTCAGCTGTGCTGGGATCACAGGTGCACACCACCGTGCTTGGGTTTTTTTAAGACAGTGTCTTGTTCTGTAGTCCTGGCTGGCCTTGAATTATAGTGTTTCTCAACCCTAACAGGCTCAATTCCCTTCTCGGTTTTTTTTTTTTAAACAATTATTTTACATTGCCTCTTTTACCACACTAAGTTAACATACTAACTGAACAATTCCAAGAAAAGTCAACTACAACGTCCAAACGTAGTATTAGAGGAAACTCATTCCTAAGGAAACTACTTGCATCTCACTATGCAAGTGTGCCCACGTCAATGCACTAGAGGACGCCGTCAGCGCCTCGCCCGCCTGTGGAATTGCCCAGATTAGGGTGGCTACAAACGCAGGCCTACATGGGTCTATTTCACGGTGATGCTAGCACCGTGTGTGGCGTTGGCAAAGGGACATGTTTGCCAGAATAGTAAAGACCAAAGGTCTTCCCTTGTGGTTGTTGTGATCCTGGAACATGCACAGTAGTTTAAAGCTGCATATCATTTTGTTTTTAAGTAAAACAGGCAGATGCTAGGCTCATATAACAGAAGCAGGTGATTCGTCTTCTGTAGACATCCTGCAACATTCAAAAGCGAACAAGGACAGAAACAGTGTTTCCCTGTGTGACATTCTTCAGCCCCCATCAAACGCTGTCACACCTCAATCCCTGTGACAAACAAAAGAGTTTGGTTTGTGCCCACACAGATCTAAAGGATCTGACCCCCAAGGCACGGGAAAGAAAACACCTCTCTTCCCTCTCCCTCACCGCCCCAGCCCTCCAGAGTTCCCCAACAACACCGCCCAGAACTCCATGCGTAAGCTTCTATCATGAAACAAATTCACTGCGGCTTTTGTGGGCTGAGCAGGAAACCATTCAATATTGTAACACTATTTCTCTGGACCACACTCCAAATCTCCCATTTAGAGATCAAGTCTGGGTAGAAAGCACTTCCAGGATGTCAGACTTAAACACGCTGATACCTCACCATCACCGTCTCTGTCACTTTTTTTTAAACTGACGGGTGGACAGCCAAGCTCCACAGAGCCAGCCCACTCCTGTAAAGACGGGGCACACCTGTGAAAAGATCGCTGGCAAGGCAAGCAAAGCCAACCCAACGAATACACCGAGTCCTTGCTTTTGCGGTAAGTTTGTACAAGCTACATTCCTTTTACCTAAATTGCAAAATATATTATTTTTACTCTTTTATTCTCCCCTTTATGCCCTTGGCATCAGAAGCAGGCACCTGCCCTGCACACAGGGCTGAACACTTTCCTTACCGGCCTGTGCTCTGCCGCAGGTCTAAGACCCCTTAGCTCAAACCATGCTTTTCCACTCCACGTATCTTCTCCCACACCTCTTTCACCCACTCATAGCATCCTCAGACTCTGGGTTTGTTTGGGTTTTTGAGACAGGATCTCCCTGTGTAGTTCAGGCTGGGCTTGAACTCATTATGTAGCCCAGGCTGGCCTTGAATGCATAGCAATCCTCCTGCCTCAGCCTCCTGAGTGCTGGGGTCATAGGCGTGCCCCACCAAGCCCAGGTATGATTGTTATTTTGACAGTGGGCTTAGTACTTTGTCCAAGTAAGAAATATTATGCAACAATGGTTAAATGTAATGCTATTTTTTGTTTGTTTGTTTTGTTTGAGACAGGATCTCACTAAGTAGTTGAGACTGACCTGGAACTCACTGTGTAGCCCAGGCTGCTCGAACTCATTCTAAGACCCCTTAGCTCAAACCATGCTTTTCCACTCCACGTATCTTCTCCCACACCTCTTTCACCCACTCATAGCATCCTCAGACTCTGGGTTTGTTTGGGTTTTTGAGACAGGATCTCCCTGTGTAGTTCAGGCTGGGCTTGAACTCATTATGTAGCCCAGGCTGGCCTTGAATGCATAGCAATCCTCCTGCCTCAGCCTCCTGAGTGCTGGGGTCATAGGCGTGCCCCACCAAGCCCAGGTATGATTGTTATTTTGACAGTGGGCTTAGTACTTTGTCCAAGTAAGAAATATTATGCAACAATGGTTAAATGTAATGCTATTTTTTGTTTGTTTGTTTTGTTTGAGACAGGATCTCACTAAGTAGTTGAGACTGACCTGGAACTCACTGTGTAGCCCAGGCTGGTCTCGAACTCACAGTGATCCTCCTGCCTCAGCCTCCTGAGTGCTGGGATTACAGGCGTGCGCCACCATGCCCGGCGGTGTAATGCTATTTTCACTGTATCTTCGTAATTGGAATATTACTCTTAAAAGAACTATGTTTTTAAGGTTCTGACACTTGCCTGTGACTAAAATTTGAAATACATCAGAATCTAAAAACTGAATAGGGGCTAGAGACAGAGCTCAGTGGTAAAGTGTGTGCTCAGCTGTGATCCCCATTCTCACACACACACAAACCACTGAACAGGCAGGAAAAAAAGTGCTCACCTGGTTTACCACAGACAATTCTTTTTTTTGAGACAGGGTCTAGCTATGTAGTAGTGCAGTCTGGCCTTGAACTCATTAGGTTAACCCAGGTTGGCCTCAAACTCAATAGTGATCCTCCTGCCCTGGCCTCAAGTGCTGGGATTAGAAGCATGCGTTACCACATCTGGCTCAGAAATTCTATTCTTATATATACTCTGAATAGGTACATGTAATTTTTTTTTTCAAATAGAACAGAAAAGTCCCCAGATTTTTAATCAAAATATTTTATATATTTTGCTCTTCCAGTTTGAGATCACTTAAAAATTACAAAACCCAACAGGAATACTTAAAAAAAGTCATGAATCAACTTTTATATGTAAAAATCACAACATTCTTCTAGCAATGAGCAAATTCACACCTCAAAAGTAAATGAGGGTTAAAACACAGAACAGCTTGGTTTGCACCACAAACACCGTGGCCAGGTGGATCTGGGTGAATGCTGCTGTCCATCTGAGCTTGGAGAAGTGCACAAAGGAGTGACAGCTGGGCCAGAAATATAAAGGGACACCAACTCCACCACCAGGACACACCACAGTCCTCAGAGGACGTCAGAGACGAGACTGCCCCAGTGAACGACATGGGTCAGCTCCGTTCCTCCACGTCGTGATGGCTGCACACCAATAAATCAAATAAGTTTTCTAACTTTTTAAACAGAGGGGCTAAGAAAAAAGCACTCCAGGAGAGGAGCACAATGTTGTTAAAAACCACCATTGTAAAGAGCTGCACCGTTACTGGGTAGTCCTGGGTCTGAAGGTGAAGCTTCCCAACGCACACGGGCAGACAGGTGAATGGCAAACAAGGTGCCTCTTTCATCACCCGTACCCTTAAAACAGGACAAGAAGGGACGAGCACACCAGTAACACCACCGACCACTCAGGGTCTCCACCCCTTCCAGGATCTTCATTCCACTCCCTCAACAACGAAAGAAACCATGTCTTCTCGATAAGGCTCCCATTTTTCCTGCCGCTTGTACACTACGGCTCAAAGTGGCCTTTGCTGCTCAGACGCCACTTCCGCCACTTTTGCTTTCTTCTTCTTCTTCTTGGTGGTATCACTGTCGCTGTCTCCAGGCTCGCCCCCACTCTGGGATGTGGCTTCGGCCTTCTCGTCCTTATTCTTCTTTCTTTCCTTCTTGGACAACTTGGGGGCCACTGTGGAGGTCTCATCACTTTCACTCTCACTCTGTTGCTTCCACTTTGCGACTTTCACAGCCTTGGCAACTACCTGTGGGGCTTTTACTGCTTCAGCAACTGCTTCCTTCTTGCTGGAGTCACTGTAGTCGACAGTCCTGCTTCCAGGTAGCAGGGGTGCTTGTCCAGAAGGCCCTGCCTGATCATCAGCTTCTTCTGACTTGCCTTGGGCCCTAAGCCCCTCTCCATGATTACCCTTTGATCCTAGCCACTATGCCGTGGTCGCAGGTAGAGATCACTGCTGTGGTCATTGATGCAACAGCTATGCAGATCACTTCCCCATTGGGGTGATGGCCACGGTCTCCCCGTTGACCTCAATACCATCCTCGTAGCGGAGAACACCCGGAAGTAGATCTTGGACTCAGAGCAGATGGCACTGACCGCACTGTCTTTCATAACCAGCTGCTTATGAGATGTCAACAGCTTTTCCAAAAGGTAGACAACTCGCCACAGGTAACTCTCATCCTTGTGATTATCATACACTGGGCCAGGGATTTAGCTCAGTGGTTCCACAGCCTGCCTCGCAAGCACAAGGTCCAAGTTTAATCCCTGGTACCAAAATAAAAAAAAAAGTGCTTGTCACAGAGCCACCGAGCATCGAGCACATCATGCATTGTCACCAAGTGGTCTTAATCTTCTTTCAGGGTCATATTCAACCATTTTGTTCTCATAGATCTAGGGCCTGCACTCTGCTGTGACTTCACCAAACGAGTGGCTCATACTATGCACACAATTAAACAGCCAGTCACCTTGGGATCTAGTGTGCCACTGTGCCCCGTCTTCTCTATGCGGAATAGTCCTCGGATCCAGGCAACCACCTTGTGAGAAGAGTTAAAGGGCTTATCAAGATTAATGAAGCCATGCCAGGCGTGGTGGTTCACCAGTAATCCCAGCACTGGGGAGCCTGAGGCAGGAGGATCATTCTGAGTTTGAGACCAGCCTGGGCTACATCATGAGTTCCAGGTCAGTTTCAACTACACAGTGAGCCCTGTCTCAAAAAAAAAAAAAAGATTAATGAAGCCTGTCCTTGAGCAACAGAGGCCACTGGGATGTGTCCAACTGAGCCACTCTGGATTCTGGCTTGATAAGAAATTCCTTGGCATGTTGTATTTCAGCTACATCTTCTTCTCATCATGATTTCCGGTCCTTTTTCTTCTTATGCTTCTTTGGCAAAACAATTACTTCCACCTCCGCCATGTTCCACCACACCCCACACATATACACCAGGCCACCACAGTGGTTTGGACCGCAGGCTCCCTCTGCCCAGGTCCAGTCTGGCCATACCGCGAAGCCACGCCCATGCACCCACCGCCCCTTTCCTGGGTATGTGTACATTTGTTCACCAAAGGGCATGAACTAGAGTGTTCTTTCTAGTACTACTCATGATGTTCCTAGCTGGAAACTACCTACATGTGCACCAACAATGGAATGTATAATCAGAGTTATATTCACATGATGAAATACTATTCAACAATGAAAATGTGGTCTACAACTTGATGCAAAACAAAGATTAATCTCACAAACATAATGCCCGACACATGACAGGCATGGTGATAAACATCTGTAATCCTAAAACTGTGGGAGGCTGAAGCAGGAGGATCAAAAATTTGAGCCTAGCCTGGGCAATTTAGGGAGAAGTTGCCTCAAAATTTAAAGTTTTTTTACAAAGGGCTGGGGATGTAGCTCAGTGTGAAGGGCCCGAATTCAATCTCTATTAAGGCCAAGAAAAAAAAAAGGAGGCAGACATAAAAGCACAATTATGATTCCATTTATATAAAGCACAAAAACAGTTAAATACAACCTGCTGGAAATGAGGACAGTGGTCCTTTATGGAGAGAAAGATGCAAGCAGGAGGCCCTTGAGCCCTGGGCACAGCCTCTTCCTCAGGCAGGCGCTGGCAACACGGCTATGCTCCAGCTGAGATGCTCAACCTCGGAAGCCCTACAGCTGCAGAGGGTTAAAGAGCGAAGCTCTGGGCTCAGAGCTGCACCTGAATCTCAGTCCCACCACTGAGGACGAGCGACTTTGGCTGAGGTGTTGGCTTTTCTGTGCCTCATTTCTTCATCTACAGAGTGAGTCTGCACCTACCTCACAGGGATACTCTAGGGATTAAACTGCTGTTAAGACTCATGCGGCAGCTATGAACACCGACGGCTATTCGATATTTGCTAAGTAAATAAAAGTGCTTTATTCGGGAGCAACACGAGAGGGAAACAGACATACACGACGACTAGGAAACAACAGCGATAAAACCCGAGTCCAGATAAAGGAGCAGGACCTAGTGGTTGGGAGGCCGTGGGCAGGAAGCCAGCCTCTAAGAGCTGGGAGCACAGCGCGGTTCCACTGGGGACTGGCCTGGAGAGCGCTGAGATGACCCAGCTCTTCCTCCGTGTTCCTGAGTAAGGACCCGGGGCACCGAGCAGGAACTGAGACTGCTGAGCTATCCTCCGAAAGGAGTTCCGAAGTCACCTGTGCCTCTGAACTTCCCCTAGTACTTAGATTTTTAAGATATCTAAGCCAGGAGTGGTGGTGCACACCTGTGATCCCAGCACTCAGAAGGCTGAGGCCGGAGGATCGCTGCAAGTTCAAGGCCAGCCTGGGCTACATAGTGAGACCTTGAACCAGAAAACAAAACAAAAAATCTAGCACACATACAAGCCACACATACATATGTCACTCAACTCACATTTTCTGCAGCCATTCAGAGTAAATAATTAAAATTCTGGACAGGTTTCTGTCAGCCATGCTGCGGTAGTGTCCCTACCTCCTCACCATGTTACATCGCTACTCTATTAAATACGTCCTTAGATGCCAGACATCGTAATAAATACTTGACTTCTGATAAGCCAACAAATCTGCCAGCTATGTATTATTCTTCATTATTCTTATCTTTCACAGTTGGGAGGTGCAGGGCTCAGAAAGGCCACCCTGCTCGGCGGTGGCAGGGCCCGAGGCTCCCGGACAGTCTGTCTCCCACGCACAGCCCTCGACTTTCTTCACTGTCAGCCTCCTACCTTCTCGCGTGTACAGTGAAAGGTCACTAGTGAGGCGGCCTAAGACAAGAGCAACCTGCCTGCCTTGCAAGCGCAAGGACCCAAGTTCAATCCCCAGTACCTGCCCCCAAAAAGGCAAGAGTGACCTAATTTAGTGAAAATCGATTTTGGCTGTTTTTTTAAATGAATAATCACTTTGTTTTTGTACATAAAGCTCTCTCCCTAGGTCGACTTAAATGAGTGCTGTGCACCATATGTGTATTGAACAGCAGGCACCCAAACCATGGCTTAAAGCCCTTAGGAGACATTTCTGTCCTCCCTGCTGCACCCCCAGTGCCTAGGTCAGAGCCTGGCCTGGAATAAGCATCTCAGCAGAACAGCTTGACTATCATTCCCTCCAAATCGTGTGTTCAAAGATGCTACCAACAAAGAGGATGGTTCTCACCAGCCACTTTGTTACCTGAAACTTCATGCCCCGACGGACATGATGAGTTGCTGGGGTAACCTCTCAGCACGGACGAGCAATCATCATACAGCTCCGGAATTCATTTACATGGGAACCTGGCATAGCTCCTCTTTCCCCATCAGGATGGGCAGCCACAGAGCAACAGCTCCTCTTCGGCCAGCAGCTGACGGAACAGCGTGTTGTCAGGGGTGGGATCGGAAACCATTAGACACAAAATGTCACACACGATCTAGCAGCTGTCCCCAGCTAAACGACACAAAGGTCTCAGGAGTTCGGCCTTTCCCACCAGATTCACATCCTGGCACCTCTACTTTCCGGAGCCCTGAAACTGCAGCTGTAACACAACCTCTTCTCCTCCTTCTTGGTCCCCAACCCCAAGGTGAGAAAATCCAAAATGTCCCTCCATGCCTATCACACTATCCCTACTTCACCTATACGAGACATCTGAGGGCCGGGGATTTAGCTCAGTGGTGCCACCACCTGCCTCGCAAGCACCAGGGTCCAGAGTTCTATCCCTACTACTGAAAAAAAATTTTTAATTAAAAAATAAAAAAGATATTTGTTCTCCAAGAACTTACTAAATGCGCCAACACATACTACCAGAGTGCTGCAGTAAGATGCTGCGTTCAGAAGATGCACAGAATACGACCCACTGCTGGGAAAACACAGTCGGGAAGCTGGGCACGGACGGGCCACCCCACTTTCCTGTGGAACTCACAGTCGCTTGTCCTTGCTGGGGTGTCCTCCTCTGCCGTGAAATGAGGCAGAAAGGGCGGGGGTGTCACTCAGTAGTACAGCACTTGCCTAGATGGGTTCCACCTTCAGTACCCCAAAAATCAATAAATCAATAAAACGAGGGGCTGAACTGGGTCAGGGACTCCTCACCTCTAACTGGGGGAAGGGGCTTCAGGCATGTGTTTTAAGGGTTCATAACTCTCCCCAGAAAAACTTATATAAAAATTACCTCACTGTGTATGTGGACTTCTCTCGAGAGGAGGCACGTGGTTTAGATCCACTGTCACCCATAAAACATGGCTCATGTTCTACCGAGTAGCTACCACGTGCTAGGCACAATGCTAAATCCTTACATACAGTAACCCATGCGACGCTCACAATAACCTTCTCAAGTAGACACTACTATTAACCCACCTCCTTTTTTTTTCCTTTTTTTTTTTTCCGGTTTTTGAGACAGGGTTTCACTATGTAGTTCAGGTTGGCCTTGGACTCAAGACAATCATCTTGCCTTAGCCTCACA